AGAGAGCATTTTTGAAAAAAAAAAAATTAATAAAATAAATATAATTTTAAAAAATATAATGACTTTGGTGTGTATTTTGGGGAAATATAGTTGGAGTTCATTTCACAAATATTTAAAATCAGTTTATTTAGTTAAAAAAATAAAAAATAAAATAAAATACAGAAGAGATAATTTAGCTAGCCACACAAGACAGCACTCTACATGACTATCGTTATCCGTCTCAACTCGCCGGGGAAAATGGAAGCTCTAATGCAGCTGCCACCTGCGGCGCCTCTTTATTCGACCACACGGAAACGAAAGAAGCTTTTCCGGCGAATTTCCTCAAGCCCTTGGGACTCGTATCAAACGTTTTCGTCTCAAGGTACTCCTACCGACACGTTCTGAATTACGTTTATAGATTTCCCTTAGTTTGAACTGTTGGGTTTTTAATTTTGTTGCTCGAGCTTATCTCATTTAGATTGGAGGTTTATAGGTACTTGTGATTATGTGTAAAAAAACAAACTTTAAATGAGAATTTGTGTTAGGGATTTGATTTCTTGAGCTTATCTTATTTCGATAGGAATTGTGTTGATGGTCTTGATACTTGGGATTCTGAATCACTAATAGGTGGACCCAGTGGAGAGAAATTATTACCAATTCATGCGAAACATGTTTATGCAAACAAGTCATCAGGTCTCTTGCCCGAACGTTGTACCTTATCAGCGCTGTTGCTCTACTATGCACGCAACAATTTATTCTCCGAAGCACAGACGATTTGGGATGACCTGCTGAACAGCTCGTTCATGCCTGATCCCGAATTAGTCTCCGAATTAATCTTCATCTACGGTAGAATTGGAGATTTTGATAGGGTCACCAGAATACTGCACGAGATGCAGATAAAAGATTCTAAACGTTTGCCTGATATAATGAGTCTGTCCGTATCTAGTTTCGGCAGGAGAGGATACCTTGACTGCATGGAGCTGATGATTAAAAGAATGGTTGCCATGGGTTATTCCGTTAGCTCTGTGGCTGGCAATGCTTACGTTGTGCACTACAGCGCTTTTGGCTCGCTGGCCGATATGGAATTAGCCGTTGGGCGTCTCAAGCGTTCGAGGATTCTCATCGAGGAAAATGCTATACGGGCAGTTTCTTTGGCGTATATCAAGAAGAATAAGTTTTATTCTTTGGGCCGTTTCGTGCATGATGTGGGGCTCGGCAGGAAAAATGTAGGCAATCTTCTCTGGAACCTTCTGCTGCTGTCTTATGGCGCGAAATTCAAGATGAAGAGCCTGCAGAGGGAGTTTGTGCGGATGGTGGAGTCCGGGTTTTGTCCTGACCTGGACACGTTCAACATTAGGGCACTCGCGTTCTCGAGGATGTGTTTGATGTGGGACTTGCACCTGAGCCTGGAGCACATGAAGCACGATGGGATCTGCCCCGATCTCGTAACCTACGGCTGTGTCGTGGATGCATACATGGACAGGAGGCTCGGGAGGAATTTGAGATTTGCATTGGGAAAAATCGGTTGGGATTGTCCAGTGTCGATGAGGACGGACCCGCTCGTTTTCGAGGCTATGGGGAAAGGAGAGTTCCATTCGAGCTCGGAAGTTGTGATGGAGTACTGGGGAAGAAAAGATTGGACCTACGAAATGCTTGTTTCTGTCTACCTTAAGAAAAAATTCCGTAGTAATCAGATATTTTGGAATTACTAATGCATATTCTTAGTACTCTATGCTTTCTGGGCAGAACCATTTTCCGTATTCACACTTTCTAGTGCAAATATATTTCATGCCATTGATATATCAAGTACTTTAAAGAGTAAGAGCTGGTTGAGGTGTAAATTTTCCAATTAGCTGGCAGGTCTCTTTGTACAGACGATTGGCAAACTGGTTGTGTCCACTTGATAACAGAGATCCGAACTATGATTCGAGCAGTTAAATTATTTGAAGCTACTAAAGTCGAAGTTTGTTATGGCTGATGCATGCCTTCAAAAAGTATACCAGCAGTATTGAGGTCACACAGAATAATCATGTAGTAGGATGATACAGCAACTCATATGCTGTCTGCTGCACGATTTTCATCTACTACCTAGCATTTTCTGGAAGGATTAATTTGATCCCTCAGGTATGTGCATGTTTTTTTGTATTTAAACAGAACAATGCATTTTCATATAAGTTGAAATGTTCTGAATTTAGTGGAACTCATATAGAAATATGATTTTGAAGAAGGTTGATGATTTAAAATATTTGATAAATTGGCTAGAATTTTGCAATGAATTATATATTTGATGTATTGAGTCATGATTATTTAGTTTATATGCTTTAATCATTGTTTAATATAATTTTAATATATGAAGCATGTATTGCTAACCTACTATATTATATTGAAATGAGGAATTTAGGATTAGCTCAGTGCCTTTTGGTTCTCTTAATCTATTTTGAATCATAGTTAACATTGTTTATTTGTTTTGAAAGCATCATTATTAAAATAGTTACAAGATTAATCGTATTCATGACTAAGTGCCATGTTTGAACATTTAAATTTTACCATATAAACTATTTGTATTAAACTAAAAGATCTAAAGAAAGCAATTAGACCGTACATCAACATACATCAACATCAACATACCCAGTATATTCCCAACAGGTTGGGGTCTGGGGGGTCAGTTGTACGCAGACCTTACCCTTATAATTATACAAGAAGGCTGTTTCCATAGCGACCCAAGGTGCGTTGCGTCGTTTGATATATTTTTTTCTAGAAACTTCACTAATAGAAGAAGCACTAGAATTTAATTGAGCCATTTTGATTTAGTCCATTATTAGACCGTATTGTCAAAGATTTTACTGGTCCTTCGAAAACAGTTATAAAATTGCATTTTTAGTCCTGCTAGTTTAATGTCGTAGCATTTATAGTCCCAGTATTTTAACTTTTTGTCTTTTGATCGTGTAATTTAGTATTTTGCTGCAATTTCAGTCCTTTGGGGTTGAAATTGCTACAAAATTTAAAATTACAGGACTTAAATTGCTAATAAAAAATCTATCCAAAAGATTTTTTACGAGTAATTGAAGTCATGTAATTTTAAATTTTGTTGCATTTTCAGAAGGACTGAAAATGGGTTGAATTTTAAAATAGTAGGACCAAATAGCAAAATTGTTCAATTCTTAGGACCAAAAACACCACTGGATCAAATCAACAAGACTAAAACTGCAATTTTGTCGGCTAGACTGACCAATGCCTTTTATTGGACAGGGTGGACCATTTGTTAATAACAATCCCTTCTGATTTTAATGAATATATATATTGTTTTTTTTCACAAAATAAGAAAAGAAACATAGGCTGCATGACATTGGATGCACATCCTTTGTTAGTCTCCTTGTGAAGAATAAATATGCTGTCTGACTAATCTTTATGTGCCAGATTATGGGTCGAAGCTCAAAACTTGCGTGAAGAAGGTTTAAAAATGGACCCTTACTTCTATAACAAGCATATAACTGTTCTTATGCATCATATTTCCCACCATAAATATATTATGGTATATGCATGTGTATATATTATATAGTTACAATTATTCACTGTTTTAGCAGAAGAAACTAAGATATAGCTGGAATCTCGCCTGGAACTATTGTTAGTTCTTACACTCGTTCAACCAAACAACGCACAAACACTTTTTCAGCAGAGATTATTCTTTCAAAAACAAAAATGAAAAAAA